CCGCCTCTATGTGGATTCCAGCTCATCCACGTGAGCATTTAATCCAATTCACGTAGCCAATACATTAGTAATCACAGAGACTAATATTATTTATCAGAATAATGTTATACAGTTTCACTGAGGTTACAACTCCAGTTTGGGCGGCGCATGATGATAGACTGAATGAAAGATGAAATTAAATTATTTATTTAATTTCACAGATTATTTAATGACACATTAACGCCACCTAAGTTGAGATTATAATCAAAGTGGAATTAAATAGCATTACTCTATTTTTGATCATTGATATTATAAAATCAATCTAGATGCTATTAAGTTTATGTTTGCTAGGGACTAAAATTATATTTTTAATAAATTTTGATAAAAATTGATGAAATGCATAGTTGAAAAGTTGTGAATCTCATTAAACATGTAATTAAATTAATTGCAAAATTTGGCTTAAATTTAAATCTAAATTTTGGTAGGGATTAAATAAAATTAAATGAGAAGTACAATTACATAATTCTACATTTTTAATGTAGTTTAAAATCAATTTTTGAGTAAATTTTGATAAAAATAAATGAAATGTGTAGTTGTGGGTCCCATAGATGTATAGTTTAAATTAATTTTGAACTTTGACTTGAAATTAAAATCAGAATTTAATCAGAACTAAACGTGGGCTTAATTGAGTCTATTACGTAATGACAACTCAAATGATCATAGTGTGGCACTGATAATCCTATCGATGATCTGTTTAAAGCATCCTATCGATGGTTAGAGGTGATTTTGGAGGGTTATCCTGCTTCCCTTACCCATCCAGTTCATCAGTCCATACATGAAAGTGTGCTGTAATATCCACCAAAACACCATGATCTGCTGTCATTTCTTACACATGATATTACCCTATTTCTCTCACCACAAGACATCCAATTTGGCCATTCTCTCTCAAACTGCACCGATTGGATATTCCACTTCACACATTTCTCACGTCATCAGCTCTGTTTCATGACCCACCACCTCCCTGCTGCCACGCCGCACACCAATGTAATACATTCTAGTCTTTTTGCAGTATAAGAAGTACAGTTATGAATTATGTTTATTTTTAGTCGAAGCTTACCACTATTTCTTAGATTCATGGACCCAATTCAATTCAATGGGATCTTTCATTCACACTTATTTCCACCAAGAACGTTTTCTAAAACTCTTTGACCCCGAATTTGGAGTATCCTACTTTCACGCAATTCACAGAGGTCAACAAGCAATCGATATTTCACGATCAAGGGTGTAATACTCTTTGTAGTAGCGATCCTTATATATCGTATTAACAATCGAAATATGGTCGAAAGAAAAAATCTCTATTTGAGAGGGCTTTCTTCCTATACTTATGAATTCCATTGGACCCAAAAATGATACATTGGAAGAATCCGTTGGGTCTTCCAATATCAATAGGATGATTATTTCGCTCCTGTATCTTCCAAAAGGAAAAAAGATCTCTGAGAGTTGTTTCCTGAATCCCATATTTGATAACTATTATTTCAAAATTCATTTTTTATACACAGTCATTTTCAAATATACATTCACACAATAAAATATTTTACTTTTTCATCACATATTCTCCTAAAAATCACTATTCAAAACATTTTTTTAAAGAATAATGATTGTCAAAATGGGGCAAAAAAATCCATAATAATGTTCAATTGTTAATTCAAGTTTTCAAATACTTTTTGGTCAAAAAGGTTCCAAGAGTTTCTGCGAAGTTTCTTTGAAATTTTTAAATTTAATTAAAAGATTTAACAAAATTGGAAAGGCCTTGGTGTACGGGGCCACATGGGCCCTCTATAGCAGGGGCGCCCCTGGTAAACTAGAATGCGCCCCTGGTAATCTGGAATAATCCAATTAGAAAACTTGATGGAAAGTTCCAAAAAGTTTTCTATTGAGATTTTTAATTTAAAGATAGAAAAACGTAGCATCTACAATTGATTCATTTAATTTTTCCAATCGAATCCAAATAGCAAATATACTAGTAATCACGGAGATTAATGCTATTATTGATATTATAAAATAATCAAGATGATATTAAGTTCCTGTTTATCGGGATTAAAATTATATTTTTAATAAATTTTAATAAAAGCCAATGCAATATATAGTTGAAAAGTTGTGAATCTCATTAAATATGTAGTTAAATTTATAGTTGACTTAAACCTAAATTAAAATTTTAATTTTAATCCCTACCAAATAGGGATTAAGTAAAATTAAATGAGTAATACAATTACATAATTCTACATTTAAGTCCCATTTGATGTAGTTTATAATAAAATTTGAAGTCAGTTTTGATAAAAATTAAAGAAATGTATAATTGAAAAGTTATGGGTCTCAGAAAATGTGTGATCAAAATTAATTGTGAATCATGACTTGAGATTAAAAATCAGATTTAATCGGAACCAAACGTGGTTTAATTGAATCTATTACATAATGACGACTAAAGTGATCATAGTGTAGCACCGATAATGTTAAATTACATTATTCAATTAGTAAAGCCATTCAAAGCTTAAGATGATTAGATCAAGTACTAAACCTGCCATCTATATCTATATTCGTATGTGGTTAAAAAAGTTGACGATCCTATGAAATATGTGATTATTGTTCACTTTGAATTAAAGGGCTTGGTGCAAAAAATGATCAATTATGGCAACTTTCAAAGATTCTCAAGTCAACTGTAGTAGTCACAAGATACAAAGTTCGTTTTCCCCTTCCAATAGTTCTTGACGGGAAAAAAATAATTAAATAAAATAAAATAAAAGTGGCTCCACTGGGGCTTATTTCCACACGTGTTGAGAGCCATTGACTCGGGATGATACTCTCTTTTTATCGCTTAAATATTCTCTGGAAGACCCCCCCTGCATGCCCATTTTCTATCCTCTATTTGAACTATTTGTAGTGAGAGAGAGAGAGAGAGAGATGGAAGAATTGCACGATATTGCAAAAGCTCACTATAAGGCAGGCTCTCAACATGTTCAGGCTTTAGCATCTAAATTCTTCAATTCATTGGACAGTAATAGCGATGGCCGGATTGATCTGGGGGAGTACCTAGAATTCACGAGTCAGAAATGTCATTCCGGGATTAATAGTCATTCCTTTTTCAAGAAGTTAGACAAAAATAGGAATGGATCACTGGATTTCTGGGAGGTAATGACTTTATACTACATCATGAAAAGCGGAAGGCCATTTTGCAGTTTTTGTGATAACTTTACACCGGGAATATTTTTCTCATGTGTGGGTGTGGGTTGCTCTTTCACCCTATGCCGTGATTGTTATCTGTCTTCTAAATGTGATCACAATCACAATGGTTACGCTCAGTTTTTGGACACCTACACATTGCTCCAAGTCAGAGTCGATTCAGCAAATCCAACAGGGATTAATCAAGACAAGGTAATGTCTAAAATATTTTGATAATGTCCTATAAAAGTTAATTTTCATTCAATAGAGGTGTCAATTAGGTCTACCATCTTCAATATTTTAAGCTCGAGACATCTTCAACATCAATTACTCCAGCACGCATTTTTCAGTTTTAATATACATGAAAAATAATAGTACTAAACTGGGACAACTACTAATTTTTACCGTATTATACTTTAAGAATAAATGGAAGGTAGCATTTAAGGCATTTGAGGTAGCCCAAGCCATTCTCAACACTTTGAATGTTAATGCAAAAATGTCTATGATTTTCTGCGTGATAATTTTGGCAATTTATTACTTGACAAAGTTGTGTTCGACAATAAATTAATTTCTAGTACAAAATTTGCAATTTGTACATATGAATTATCGTACAATATCATCTTTAGCTTATGTTGATAAAGTCTGAATGAATCAAAGACTTGGCACATAATTTACTGATGAACTTACCAATTTGACATGAAGAAAAAAGGTAAAGTTTTCCTCATAATTTTTTTCGCGGCACGAACCTCTACCCTCACTTCGTAAAGCAAAGGTCAATTTTCTTCATTCTTAAGTTTTTATATACGTGAAAAACTCTTGCTAAATTGGGACGACTTGGAAATTTTTCATATTATATTTTTATGGAAAAAAAAAAAAAAGAATGTAGCATTTAAAGCATTTGAGGTGGCCATGACATTCTCGACACTTTGATTGTTCACGCAAACATGTCTTTGATTTTCTGCATGTTGATTTTGGCAATTTATTGCTTGACAAAGTTTTGTTTGGCACAAAACAAAATTCTAGTACAAAATTTGAGATTTGTACATATGAACTATCATACAATATTTTCTTTAGCTTATATTTAGGAAATCTAAATAAATCAAAGACTTGTCACACAATTTATTGAAGAACTTACCAATTTGACATGAAGAATAAAGTAAAGTTTTCCTAATAATTTTTTCGTGTCAACGAACTGTACCTTCACTTCTTATAGAATGTAAAGAGGTTAGTTTTCTTCATTCTTAAGTTTTTATATACGTGAAAAACTCTTGCTAAACTGGGACGACTTGGAAATTTTTCATATTATATTTTTAGCCAAAAAAAAAAAAATGGAATCTCACATTTAATGCATTTGAGGTAGCCTTGACATTCTCGACACTTTGATTGTTCATGCAAACGTATCTTTGATTTTCTGCGTGTTAATTTTGGCTATTTATTGCTTGACAAAGTTGTGTTCGACACTAAACAAATTTCTAGTACAAAATTTGAGAATTGTATATACGAACTATCGTACTATATTTTCTTTAACTTATATTGAGGAAATCTAAATAAATTAAAGAATTATCACATAATTTAACGAAGAACTTACCAATTTGGCATGAAGAATAAAGTAAAGTTTTCGTAATAATTTTTTTTTTTTTTTTTGGCAGCCATCGCTAGGATCAATTCATAATCAGGTAAATTTTATGCATTGTTGTGTTTTTATATACTTAAACAAATCTTGCTAAATTTGGACGACTTGGATATTTTTCATATTATATTTTCAAAAAAGAATGGAATGTAGCGTTTAAAGCATTTGAGGTTGCCCTGGCCATTCTCGATGTGTCGATTGTTCATGCAAAAATATCTTTGATTTTCAGCGTGTTAATTTTGACAATTTATTGCTACATAATTTTGGGTTTGACACTAAATAAATTGCTAATACAAAAATTTGAGATTTGTACATACTATCATACAATATCTTCTTTAGCTTATATTGAAGAAATCTAAATAGATCAAAGACTAGTCACATAATTTAACAAGCAACTTACCAATTTTACATGAAGAATAAAATAAATTTTTCCTGACAATTTTAATTTTAATTTTTTTAGAAGCAGACATACAGTTCATACTCTGTACATCATCCAAATCCAGGCCCCAGTGCTTCAACAGCAATTGTTCCAGCACATAAATTGGTCAGTTTTTTCATTCTTAAGTTGTTATATGCTTTAAAAAAAAAAAATCTTAATAAACTGGGACAACTTGGAATTTTTTCTTATTATATCTTCAGGACAAATGGAATGCAGCATTTAAAGCATTTGAACTGGCCTTGACCATTGGAAATATCTCTGGCTCTATGTGTACAATCTTATGAAACCAGATTCTGCTTCAATAAATGCCATGGGGGAACGTACATTCTCGACAAGGGTTGGAGGATCTAGATTCATGCTGCTTTAAGGGGCTTTGAAGTGTGTGTGTGTGTGTGTGTTTTTTTTTTTTTTTTTGTGGTGACTCTAGTGCCCGAGCTTTGATGTGTTTGTTTCTTTATAGGGTAGAAAGCATCAATTGCACAAAACATTTGTGTACTTAGATTGGAGTTCTACACGAGTATTGTATTGCAACTATTACTTTCTAAAATATTATGCACCTATCTCGTATCGATTTTATTTTTTAATTTTACTAGATTTTGATAGAAACCATTGTGCATGTTAAATTTTTTATTCTATTATCTTTGTATTATTTCTAGAAAGCACTGTCAAAAAAGGTACTAAATGCGTTAAATTCATGTAAATTGTCATTTCTACCCTTTAAATCATAATTAAAAAAAAAAAAAGAGGTGGTTGAATCAATTATTACCTTTAATATAAAGGGTACCGCTATTTACATCCACAATTTTTATATATACATCTAGTTTTAAAAAGATATATTACGTTATATTTTTTATCTTATGTAAATTTACATAAGTAGACATATATAAAATTAAATAAAAATATATTGTTCTAAATTCACTAATGTTTATTTTCATAAATTCTTTTAAACCTTTTGATATTCCTTTAGAATTTGTGTTTGACTAAAATTCTAATAATTATAAAACATCATCTTTAACTAAAATCATAAAACCCTAATCATAAAATATCCTCTTTAATGAAAATAAAAAATAACACATTATTAGAGTTATAATTTTTCATGATATGAAAAATGGAATCTTATTTTTTATGTCTTTTTAAATATTGATTTGACAGATGAAAATATATGAGAAATTCAAAGTTTAAATACTTGTCTAATATTCTTACACTATAAAAGGAAACAAACTTAAAATTATCAATAAAACAAACAACCAATATTATGAGTATATGAGTAAAAAAAATAAAATTAATTAGTTAACATATGATTCAAGGAGGGATTTGTTTTGTTGCATTTTTTGTTCAAGGATTATTCGGTCTTCACTCTCTTAGTTATGAATCGAATCCAAATTTCGGGCAGAACCTTGGGAAAAACTTTCTTCCTAGAATCTTAGGCCCTCTATTCAAAAAGATGCCCTCACATCTAGAAAGGAATAAGCAAAAAATAAACTAGAATTTGAGACAGCTATCCGAAAACGGTTCTTATTCGAAAGAAGCATGGCTCGATGCTTCACTCTGTGGAAGAGCAAAGAAAGGCCACTCATCGAGAACTATAGTGCGCATCACTTTGAGAACTTGTTAACCTAGCATCTGAATCCAATTGCGGTTAAGTTAATGACTTTCAACATGGCTAGAGCTATAGTGTGACAGGCTGGTAGGGGCGGATCCCAATGAGGTCCAGTGCGGCAAATGCCCGCACTGAACCTTTGGGCCACCAATCACAGAGGCCCATATTTTTTTTTTATTTGAACTCTCCAAATGTCCTGGTCCAGCAAGAAGTGAAGCCCATTAATTTACCTAATACATTAACCATTTGAAGTTTTAACAATCAATCCCTTCGATTTCATTCATTCCATATTTCCATCCGCAAACCATAGATCCACTATGCCTTCTCTACCGCCGCCTACTCCTTCCAGTCCTGGTGCTGTCTTCGCCTCTTCCTTCCCTACTTTTCAGTCCTTGTTTGCTGTATGTTTGAACTGTAGACGGCATTTACGAGTTATAGCAGTTGCAGAAGGAGACGCCAACGATTCTCAGAAGAAGTGAAGAACTAAAGAAGAAGAAGGTGAGGCCGAACTCGACTTTAGATTTAATTTGATTATTGAGTGTCTGCGACTCTGCATCTTTATTCTTTAGAGTTGTGCCATTGTAATTTGTAGATTCTTTTTTCAATTAATGTTGTTTACTTCATTTTCTATGTAACTCTAACTCTAAGTACATGTTCTTGCACCCTGCAAGTATCTGCATTTGGCAAATTGTTAGTGACAAGAAGTTTTGATACAACTGCTGCTATTTGGAAACATGGTGGTGATTATGAATGTGTTTCCACCCTAGAGGTGTAGTGTCATTTTCAAATTCCATATCAAACTGTTAAGATTCGGATGAGTATATCATGAGAAATTGTGAATTGTGCTGTGAATTGTGAAGTGACTAGTGAGAAAATATAAATTGTGAAATTGCACTGTGAAGTGTGAATTGTGAAGTGGGAATTCTGGAATCAGTATTGCCCTGTGATATTATGAAATTGTGAATTAAATTGAAAATAGTATTGCCCTATAAAAACTCGACGTTCAGCGTCGATAAGATTTGTGCCCGCACTGAATTTTTATCCTGGCTCTGCCCCTGCAGGCTGGTATAGTAAAACATGGATGTGCTCTTGAAATATAAGTCTATAATCAAGGACGAATCCAGCCGCTTAAGTGAACTAGGGTGGAACGTCGAGTATTCATCAAACAACCACTCAATATAGCAAGATTGTTTACTAATATTTACTTAATTTATATTAAAAGAATCTCCAATCAATATATAAATGCACTAAAACTTAAAAAGCACATATCTATATGAAAATATAATTCGATACAATTTAAAATAATAAGGGCAAGAACCAACTTTAGTCTAGAGTCTGCATTTAACTTATTTAACTTCAAAATTCTTATATAATTTTTTTCTTGGTGGAGCCAGCATGGGCGGCCGTACAGCCTCACCAAATGCTAGCTCCGTCTCTGAGTCTATTATGATATTGCTCCTAGTTGTTCTGTCATTTGATTCCCAGGCTCTCGTTTTCAATAATAATTTGAGAACATCCATTATTAAATTTGAGTCAGGACTCGGGAGCATTTTAATGGGTAGAGAAATCTTTTAATTTGAAGACAAAAGTTATTTAGAAGTGAATTTTTATTCGGCTTAACCATGTTCTAAATAGTTTTTTCAAAATAATAGAAGATGTGAAAATTCTATTAATATGTTTATGCTCGTACTCGTTTCTTTTTGTCCAAGTTGCTAGTCTTAAGTAGAACTTCTAAGTCAAATCTTCTCAAACATTTCCTCTGCTTTAATCAATGAAGGAATTGTTAAACTATTTTTCAAGAGAGAGATGTAAGGGATGAGAAGAATTGCAAGAGCTAATTATGACTACAGAGCAAGTGAAGAGGAAAAGAAGTCAGCACTCAAATTCTTCTAAAGCGTGGATAAAAAATGGGGATGGAAAAGTGGGCCTTTTGGAGTTCAAAGGAGTATACAAGCTCGTCTGACAAAATGACAAAGTCTTAAAGTTAGACACTTGATAAGCTAATTATACGAATGGTATATGAACTTTATCTCAAAAACTATACATGAACGTTTGATGGTTTTGTTGTTCGCGGTTATTCAAGCAAGTTTAATGCCCAAGGTAATTTTGTTTGTAAGTAATGCTTAGATTCAATTCAAAGTTGTTGAGTTTACCCATAGGGGCTTTGTGGAAGAGGCAGAATTTTTTGTTTGGAAAATTATTTTATAGTTTGTTGAAAAGTTATATTTTATTCATTGTAGTGAACTTAATGCAAATGTGCAGTTTGTTATAATTGAGTTGTGACCCGAATTCTTGTTGAGTATTTGATTGAAAATACTGTTGGAGGACTACTAGAAGTTGATAGTAGACTTGAAGATATTGAAGGAGTCCAATACGGATAAGGAGAAGGGCTAGCACTTTTTGCAATTTTTCCCTCCTTTTTCGACTCAAATACTCCGTTATTAGTTTTACTATTATCATAGGATTTCACCTTTCGTTAGACTCTTGTTTGTATTAATTCTCCTAGTATGTTAGAGATCTCTTGTATTATAAATATGTGGTGTATTATCCATATTTATTTGATATATTCCGAGAGTGATCCAAGTGGATTTTGATTTATAGAGAGACTCGCAGATAAAAATATTCAGGAGAGTCTTGTGAGATCTAGTCTAACATATTATAACTTCTTACTTTTAATAAATTGAATTCTCTGTATCTATTGTGATATGTTCTGTATTTGATTTTCATGTAAATCTTATGTTTTTTTTTTCACAAAGCCTGTATCTTGTCTTTAATATTCATAACAAGTAGTATAGATTTATCACCGTGTTATAACAACTGGGTAAATTTTTAACATGTAGTATTAGAGCAAAACTGGTATTGCTTATTTCTTACAATTGAGGTATATGAATTCTTGTAGTAAGAATTATGTGACAAATAAGAATGATTTGGAATAATCTTGCTTTGTATATATTGAATAATAATTATTATTGTAAAAAGGTGTACAATGCCATTTTTATTAATAGACAAAATTATTTCCTACTTTTACTACTACTGAAAAATTGAAACTATACTCTTAATAAAATAATATATAAAAGTCATACCACAACTATACGAGAAAACTAGGATAAATGAATATAATTGAAAATATAATCAAAACATAGGTAATTTCACAATTGTAGTAGGAAACCATTAGCTATAGTTGTAATGTATTGCATTAATCCCCTACACTTGAATAAAAACTCGTCCTCGACTTTGGTGACAATGAGGAAAACTCATTTGGAGGATAATAATCAAAGCTATCAGTAACATTGAAAGTATTGAAAATGTTCATATCAACCAAGAGGTCAATATTGTAAGCATTATCGCCAATCTTTTGAAGAATGCAAAAATAATCAGTCGTCTTATCTATAAGCTTATTGTATTTACCAACAGGAAAATGATTTTTCGGAGATGGATCACCGCCAAATCACCTTCTTTGAACAACTCAAGTGGTCAATGTTGGTCTGCATTAGTCTTGTAATGAAGATTAGCATATTCTAAACTTTGTTTTACCTCGTGATGAATTCTTTAAACATATTCAGCAAGCTCTTTTGTATTAAAATTGATACTAGGGAGTAGAATCTAATCTACAGTATGCCCTGAAACATTAATGTACGTGACTTCAAAAGCAGTCTTATTGGTGAATCGATTATTCTTTAATGATGTCCTACATAATCATGATTAGCAGTTACATAATCATGATTAGCAGTTTCCTACTAAAATTGTGATTTATATTTTGTAGTTGCTTTTATCTTTTTTTAGTTTTCTTTTCTAGTTATAATATGTTTTATCTTCTAATTCTTATTTCTAGTTTAGAGTAGGATTTCTAGTTTTTTTAATTGATTAGAATATAATTTCTAATTTCTTTTAGATTAAGATTCTATTAGTTTCTTTATTTTAATTTCCTTAGTAGAAGTAGGAAATTATCTTGCCTAAAACTATAGACGTTGTACACTTTTGATTAGAATCAATTATGATTCAATATAGACAAAGCAAGATTATTTCAATATCATTATTAATTACTACATAATTCTCACTGCAAGAATTTTACAAATGCTTATGTACCAACTTTATTCCTTGTTCAAAATTACAAGTGAACTTAGTTTCGTATCAAAATTATGCATGTACTCACAAATTTATATCTCATTCATACATAAAACTCCCATATTTCAAAATTAACGAAACCATTCATGTGGCAAACGAAGGGCCTACATGGAAATGTCAAGGTGGATACATGACATTACCAAACAACGTCATTTAAATTACATAAATTACATTTTTTAGGAATTTAAATCAAATTTTATTTTAGAAGTACACAATACGCTTTGAAGAGATTGAGGGAACATTTTCTTTTATTTTATTTAACCACATTTCTTATCAATTTGTTCCCAAATTAATCGACCCTCTCAACGTGAAAGCCATGATGCATTTCCTCATAACCTTAAAATGGTTGTTGAAGAAAATGTTCCTCAATCTCTGTGGCGGACGTAGACATTTGGAGTTAGTGGGGCACAATATAACTTGTACAAAAGTTACGGAAAAATTTATCTATTCGATATTTTATTACAATTGTTCTCTACGAGTTTTCATATTTTGATAACATTCCATAATTACAACCCTTTTCATATTGTCAAATACATCTTTCACAATATATGCAATCAAACTATCATTCAGCCATTGATTTCCAATTCGATTGTGCAGATAATTTTTACGTAAGTCGTTGCAGAAAATTATCTCTCGACTGTAGCAATAGCCATGGGAAGAACTAAGGCTAATGTCACAAGTTCGAAAACTAATGGATACACTTCATGCTTATTTTTCGCAAACAATTTTTGTGCTAGATCACCAAGGCCTTGTAATCCTTCAAAATCTTAATCAGTGCGCATGTCAAGAATATATGTATCTAATTGATCATCAAATTTTGATATATCTATTGTGTCAAAATCTACTGCATAATACCCGCATAGTCAAATCAATTTGTTTTTGTTAAAAGCTGCAAATGAATTATTTGGACATGACCACGCAATATAAAAGAGTAAATCACTATTCACCTCAGAAAAACAATCATTCAATTCTTGAAATTGCATGTCAGTGATGGCATAAAACATTTCCATACGATAGTGATACAAATTTGTCACTGTAGTCTGTCGTGAACAGCCTACAGTTATGAACATATCATCCATGTTTGGAATATTGATCTCATGAGCTTCACAGAATGAACAAATCATTCCAAAAAAAAGAATCCCATCTATCATCCTTCATGGTTTGCATCTGTACTTTACATAATTTCACCAATTTCATGGCATTGACAATATCTTGATCTTTTCTTTATAATGCTTTCGACAATTCATTTGAAATTCCCAAAATCTTTTTCATGAGATGTAACTTAAATGCAAATTCAAATTTTAACATTGTCTCCAATAAAATATTTGCATCACCTCTTGTTTCGGAACTTGTAGTATCAGTAGCAATTGCCTCAATAACATCAACGGTGGCTAAAAACATGATAATCAAGTTAATCAAACAACTGTAATAAGAGCCCCAAAGAGTATCACAAGAACGCTTAAGAGTAGTTTCTTGGTTGAGACCTTGTCCGCTTGATATTTCACCGATACTAAGTGCTTCAAGAATTTTAAGTTTTTTCTCTCTCAAATAAGATCACTTCGCTTAGCCAATCCTCCAACAATATTCACCAATCTGTGTACTAAAGTGAAGAAAGCTTCAATTTTCGGATGTTTTTGTGCCATAGCTACAAGTGTTAGTTGAAGTTGATGAGCAAAGCAATGAATGAAGTAAGCACTTAGGTTTTCTTTCAAAATAAGTGATTTGAGACCATTGTACTCACCTCGCATATTACTCACTCCATCATATCCTTGACCTCTCAAATTAGATATACTTAAGCTATGTGTGGAGAATAATTGATCAATTGCAGCCTTAAGTGCAACAACTGTGGTACTTGAAACATGCGTGACACCAATAAAATGTTCCAATACATGCCCATTCTTCACATAACAAATGACATCTAACATTTGCTCTTTCACTGAAATGTCTCGAGAATCATCAACTATAATAGAAAACAAGCTATCCCCCACATCTTTGATAATCAAATAAAGAGTTGCAGAAACGATAGCACTTACAATATCTTTCTGAACTTGTGGCTATGTGAATTTGTGATTTTCAGGTGCATTCGTCAAGCAACAGCTTCAATCTCAGCATTATGATCACATAACCAATGTAATAGTTCAAGAAAGTTTACTCCATTGTTTGAATCTTCATATTCATCATGTCCACGAAAGGCCATCCCTTGTCGTAGAAGAAACCGAACACAATAAATTGATGCATTCAAACGAGTTCGATACTCTGTTCGAGCTTGATGTGATTGTCTAAAGAAACACGATTGAATGCTTTTTTCTTGATTCTTGAATGATTCATAATGAACCCGAGCCTAATTGTGTGCATTACTTGGTGCCCCAACGTGTTTTCTAATAATTTCCTTTCTTTTCTAATTTGAGAATCCACCATTAATAAATGAACCATCACTTGAGCTAAAAAGATAGCAGTATAAGCATAATACAACATCTTTTGCTATACTGTATTCCAACCAACTAGGATATTCGTTATACCATGAAACACAAAATCGCCTATCTTTATTAGCCTTTTTTTGGGTGAAAATTCATAATTGCGAGGCTGACATGGACCCCTTTGCACATATGCTCTTCGAATTACATCTCGAACATTAGCATCAAAATTTTGTATTGGAATCCTCAATCCAGGATCCAAAGGAAGCAATGCAACATCAAATTCAAGCCTTTCATCCCCAACATCCCTGGTATTTGTTTCAATTGGGACGTCTCAAAGATTAATTCCACCAATTTCATTCATTTCATCACCAAGTTCGTCATCCTTTTTATTTCCAACGTCACGTCCATCCCTTTTAACTTGAACATTTCTTTCATTAAGATTTTTCTCATTGCAAGGAAACACAGATTTACGTTTAAAGTACTTTTCCATAACTGATAAAAATATATAATGAAAAGAATCAATTCAAGTGAAAAAGTAATCTTACTATCAATAATGGTTTAAGTTACTACGCTTAACGGTTTCATAAATTACAATCTCATTAATAATGTAGTATCTATTTTGAATTGTTGATACATTTGCCAACTAAATCTCACAAATCACAAATTAATTATCCATCAATAAATTTACAATTTACAAATCACATATTCACAAATCACAAATTCGCTAAAATCATAAATTGATTGGAGCCACCAAACGGGAATTAAAATCAGAACGCTATACTAACCTTAATGCTCTGGCCAATGACAATGGAGGACTGGAAGAAAGTAGCAATACAATAGAATGGCGAGGCAGCGCGAGTAGGTAGCACTACGTATACATCTCAACTAATAGAAAAAAAGATTTAACAAAAAGCAAATTACAGTACGAAAATAGTCCATAATTTATATTATTTGTGTATCATCATTTATCATCAACACAATTCGAATGAGACGTGAATAATTTTCATAAATTAGCAGTGAACAAGAATAAGACACCCAAGGTCGCAAACACAACAATAATTCCAATTTCCAATTAAAGCTTGAAATTGGCCAATTTTTTCAGTAAGTCTGCCACCTAAATCTCTCCATGGAAGTTGGATTACAATTTACAAACAAAAACAGCTTTCTGGAACTTGAACAACTCTCAAAGAACAAATGGGCTTCCATTTTTTATTTTTTCCTTTTTTTTCACCAAAATAATGTTGGTAAGTTATTTTCTATTTTGGAAACTGAATTTCTTGAAATGGGCATGTGTAAGACCCATCTTTCAGGGCCGAAAATGAAGTAGAATCCGTGTATAAATTCTTCAAAGCTTCGGGGCCCTTTGCCACTGCTTTATCAAACACTGTAAGCATCCTTGAAGTTCTACTCTCTTTTCCAAGAATTCCAACAAAAAGAACTTTTATTTTCAGTCGCAATTCAGAGAATTTCCAAGAATATAATGCGGTTTTTTGTATATAAAATTGCAGAAAGATCAAAGACATGAAGATGGATGATGTTGACAATTTCGAGAGTAACAGTTTCGAGCGTGTATAGAAGAGTATGGAAAAAATCTAATAAGAAATAACTCGTGTGGAAATAAGAAACTCTCAACACATATAGACCTCTCTCTCTATAGACCATAACCATCTAAGAACTTAAACAAAAATCTAAAAAACAAGAATAAATGTATGGGAAATGAAGTAACGGGAAACAGGTTGCAATTAACATGAATAATAAATTGAAAAATTGAATCCCAAATTTCATATATAAAATTTCAGCACATAACAAGAATAATCTCCTTACAATTCCAAGTGTATTGCTGTCTTCAGCCGTTTGTGGTGGTAGGATAGCCGACGGAGGGAGTCGAACGGTCAACAGCGACGACAAGAGAGGATTAAATGGTTGGGTTTCGCTTCTCGAATTGGCGGTCGTCGAGCCTGGAGACGGGATTGAATTGGAAGTGGGAACGTTTCTTGCATTGAATTTCAATTTGGTAGTGGAATATGGGGATAGGAATTTGGGATGGCGTAGGATCTATGAATTGGAAAGTGGGAGGGTTTTTTTAATTTTTCCATTTTTATCAATTTCTGTTTCATAAAAAAAAAAAAAAAAATTCCTTTTTAGTCGGTGGGTCACGTGACCCACCGGGACCAACTGTAAGTCCGCCAATAATCTCTTCGAATTTTGTTGTGTTCTTATGACAATCATTTTCATGTAGGCACTCAGTTTACTGATAAATTATTCAATTACTATTGACTGATGAAAGATAATACAAAATTGTAAGTCCATATATGATTTGGATACAAAGTTGAGTTCATGTATTATTTTGATACGGGATAAAGTTCATTTATAAATTTGATACAAAGCGTATAGTTCATGTACCATACAATAATTAACTTACCAAATGTTTGTCACATTATTGCCATGTATTTGCAAGGTGGATTATTCCGTTAATTTGCGCATTTGACTCTAAAAGTGCTAAGTCTTCTTTCAAAATTAATTCGGACTTAGAAAATTAATTCATAATAATATAACAGCTACTAATAGAATTTTTAGGTGAGAATCACACATTTAACATAACTAGCAGGAATAATAATTAGCTAGTAGAATTGCATTGTTAGTCCCTATATTGACATAGTAACAAACGGATCCTCAATATATTAATATTGGAATTTAAATTCCCAATTTGTCATTTTTGTTGCACTGTGGTCCTCAATGAACAGAACCATCTAAACGTAAGTCTCCTATGGAAGGGGCAAAAATGTCATGACTCAATTCAAATAGAAAACAAAAAGAGAAACATCACAAAAAAAACAAATAATTAAGAAAGCCATAGAAGTGTTCATTCACAAATAATTAACTTTTTCTCTCTTTCTATTAACAATAAAATGAAAAAACTAACGAATGATCTTTCTTTTCTCTGAAATCTTTATACATATTGGATGTGGAATTATGTGAATGCATCAATTATCACATACAAACACATATATATATTAATCCCATTTTTCATTATGATGTCTTTCCATCCAATGAGGACTATGGTGCAATCGAAACGAGATTTTGGAATACATACTCAAAAATAAAATAAAATGGGACCCTTTTGCTGTTGTCAATAAACTGGAGACTGATTCTGCAATTTTCCTTAATCATATTTTTAGCCAAATTAATCATAAACAGACTAACATGCTAGCCGCCACACGACACTCATCTCCACCTCAAGCCCCCATATCCTCATTTTCTCTAAATTGGATTCTATCCATAATACTTCAAACACATTCGGTTAGTCCTTTTTCTCACTTTCTTTAATTTTTTTTTTTTTTTAAAGTGCTTGATGTTTCTCAAATTGTTTATCGGCTATTTAGGGATGAGGAACCTGGTTTGGCCATTTGTTGTGGGGTGTGTTATTAGTTTGAACTAATTTGGGAATGGCCGAATTTTGGGCTGAAATTTACCAAATTACCAATTCCTTAATTTACTATTAACTGTAAGGATAAATATTATATTTTTTGAACTACACGTCCTTAAAGGGGGATGTAACTACTGATAGTTGATTGCCACTTTTGTTGTCACGTTTTTTTTGTGGCATTGTATGCATCAAGATCAGTCCATGTTATAGTTATTTTAATTGCTTGTAATGTGTTTCACAGCATGGTGTAATCTGTCATCAGGTAAGGTAGTAGTTGGCAGAGGTTGGTGACCAAAAGTATGGTAGAAGTCTTTTGAAAAATATATGTAATGTAGCAAGTTTTTAGTGCATAGTAGAATTAATCTTTTCATCTACAGAAAATCTATCTTTCTCTTCCTCATTGGGTCATAAAACCATCAGTAGTATCAGAGCCTTAGTGATTTTGGAGAAGAAGCAAAGTAGAAAGACAGGAAAGAGAGAAAACAAGTAAGGTAATTTCCACCACAACCTTAACCATATCAGTCGTGTGTTTTCAAAGGTAAAAAAAGAGGATGGCTTCAACTGGTTTTTTAGCTCCATTACCTTCAGTTTTCACAGGAGAAAACTATGACTTCTGGGCTGCTAAAATGAAGGCTTACTTGAAAGCCTATGATCTGTGGGAAATCATAGAAATTGGAGCTGAACCTCCTCCACTCGGGCCAAATCCCACCATAGCTCAATTCAAGCAACACAAGTGAGGAAATTGCAAAGAAATTCAAGGGACCTATCTACCATATCTCTATCTCTCTATCTGAACTTGTGAATGCCCTTCATGCTACTGGACAAAGGAGGTTGTTAAGGCAAGAAGAGCAGGTAGAAGGAGCCTTTTTTGTTAAGGGAAAATACAAAGCTCAAACAAGCTTTGATGTGAAGAAGACTAGACCTAAAATAAAGAAGTATGAAGGCAGCAAGGCTGCTAATAAAAACACCACATATCCACCCTGCCCTCATTGCAAAAGATCGGTAATTCACCTAAATGGTGCTAATATAGACCAGGTGTGCGATGTAGGAATTGCAAGCAATTTGGACATCTGCAAAAAATGTGCAAAAACCAGAATGAAAAACAGAACCAACAGCAGGTACAAGTGGCAGAGGATTAGTTGCAACATCAGGAGGAGCATCTATTCACTGCCATCAATTTTAAGGCCTGTAGCAATGCTAAAACATGGTTACTGGATAGTGGTTGTACATACCGTATGGCTTCTGATTCCAGTTTCTTTGTTGGATTAAACGGTTTATACAAATCAAAGGTGAAAGTAGGCAATGGAGACTATGTGAAAGTGGAGGGAATTGGAGTGATTGCTGTACAAACTCCTACATGTATTAAGCATATCTCTGATGTTCTTTATGTGCTAGACATTGATCAAAACTTAGTAAGTGTAGGCCAATTAATTGAGAAGCACTACACATTGATATTTAAAGATAGTGGTTGCACCATATTTGATCCTAGTGGAAAGGAGTTAAGACGACGAATTTTTTAAATTTATGGGCTAAAGATTTTTCCTACAAACTCTTTGGAGACGAATATAATTCGTCACTTAATTTTTTTGTTGACAAAATCATTTATCTGCTAAAGTTACTTTTACCCACGAAAAGGTTTTAATTTTCACTACAAATTATGCTGTGGGTAAATCGTATTTTTTCCTGCAAATAAATTTTCACGTCGATAGAATATTTGTGGGCTAAGATATAGACTTTTTCCCAACTAAATTGGTAATGTCAAGTGTTTGCCGTATAATTTTCATGTGGACACTCAGTTTACCTGTGAATTATTCAATTGCTACTGACTTACAAATGTTAATTCATGTATGAATGTAATACAAATTTGTGAGACCATGTATGACTTTAATATAAAGTTGAGCTCATATATTATTTTGATACATGATAAAGTTCTTGTAAGAATTTGATGCAAAGAATATATTTCATGTACTATACACAGAATTAACTTGTCAAGTGTGTGTCACGTTATTGCCATGTAGAACTCCATTAGCAAGTTGGATTATTCCATTAATTTTGATTGAAGAAAGTTAAACCATGATTTTTGAAAAAAAAAAAAAAAAAAAGTTGAATTTCATGAATAGTTTTGATACATATGATAGAGTTCAAGTACTATTTGCGCATTTAACTCTAAAAGTGTCAAGTCTTCTTAAAAATTAATTCACAATAATGTAATAGCTACTATTAGAATATCTTCAAAAGATTCTACACTTTCAAATAACATATTCTACCATTTGGAAAGCATTTATAAATTTAGAGAGTTAAAATTTTGAAGCACTCCAACAAACTTTTTATATTTAACGCTTAAATTTACTACTCCCAAAAAATATTTATTATCTTTTTTCTATTTTTAATTTTAACTAGCTTTACTTTAGATTATTTTATTCATTTTACATTGAAAATTGAAATATTTGAATGCATTTAATTATAGAAAGTGAGTTTTGGCTCTCTAATAATTCTCTAAATTAAAATGTTAATTTAAAAAATCTCTTCAAGCATGATTTTAAAAATTGACCCTTTAAATTCGAGAGCATTCCATGTTTAAAGAATGTCTTGATGATGCTCTAATAAAATATATAGTAGAGAAAACTTAACATTGAACACCATCAATAGGGGAAAAGAACACACACAAATTGCTCCCCAAGGCATAGCTCAGTTGTGCAAAGGATAGGAGTGAGATAGTCTCAGTCTTGTTGGCAGACGCAATGTGAGGGTTCGATTTCTGAGATATGGAATAGGACTCTTTGTGAGTATCAGTGTATAGGCAAGCTCTTGTTCCCTAACATGTTAGGGCACATTTTGCGATTTTCTTCCCTCACAATACTCTAGGGGTGAGGCGATGGGGACCCTCAAAATTGGGGTTCAACCTTTTAAAGAACACACACAGATTTGGAAAAAATATAAAGAGAAAAACCAAAATAATAATACATTTAACCTACTGTTTGACAATCATTATCTTAAAACTCCCTTTTTTTTTTTTTTTTACACTCATTTTTAACTGTACATTCATACAATAAATATTTTATACGTAAATTCAAAATTTTTCATACTTTTTAACTACACATTGTTAAAAAAACAATATTTAAAACTATATTTCATTCAAATAATGGTTATCAAACAGGGTCATAACTAGTAGGAATAATAATTATTTAGGAGAATTGCATTGTTAGTCCTCATATTGACATAATAGCAAATGGATCCCCCAATTTGTTAATTTTGGAATTTAAATTCCCAATTTATGATTTTTGTTGCACTGTGGTCCTTAATGAAAGGAACCATACAATATGTTGTGATATACATAAGTCTCCCATGTGAGGGGCAAAAATGTCATGACTCAATTCGAAAAGAAAATAATTAGAAACAAAAGGAAAAAAAAATATTTAAGACAGTAGGAAAAGAAGGCCCCAAAAGTCATAAGTGCTCACTCCCATTCTTACGCATCTTATTACTGACAACTACCCATCGTTACAATCGGTGGCTCAAGTTTAGATGCTAAGAAAATAGCAACAATAAAAATAAAAAAAATAAAAAGGGAACACTTGCACACTTTTAGAAAATGGTTAATTTTGACCTTTTTTTAAGTATCTATTTAAAGACCCACCAAAT